AAGTTCCAATAGATATATGTTGAAAAAAGAATTGCAAAAAGTGAATTATTTCTTCTTCCTGCCCATAATATACAGTTGTAAAAGATATGTGAATTACAAACTATTAGGAAATACAATGTTTCTGGACAGAATGTTAACACTTTACCCTCTAACTTTATACAAGAAATATAACATAAGAATATCAACAATGAATATAATGAAATATTGATATCTTGACACTGATGCCAATATTTAGTTTATCCCTTCCAAAGAGGCACAGGAACCAATAATTCATATTCAGGAGAATTACTGTGTGCTTTAACGTGTGAATAAATGTGTCATCATCAATGCATATGACTTGAAATGTAAACACTATTTGTAATTAAGAATGTGTTATACCTTAGATTAATGTGATTGGTAATAACGGTTTCTCACAACTGCCCATGAGGAATAATGAACCACCACACTTCTGGGGTCTCAACGTTTGTTTCTCTCTGCAGTCAGCATTATTGGATCCATTCACGCATCCATCCGTGATGATGGTTAGGGTGTTTGTGCACTAAGAATACTGGGCTTCTAGCCAGTGCTAACTAGTTTCTAGTTAGGTGACCTCAAGTAACTTGTTAACTCTGACATGATTGAGTTTCTTCACCTTTTACACAATATTACATAAAAAGAAGGAAGACATAATGGAGCCTTCTGATGTTTTACAAAGGAAGGAAGGAAGGAAGGAAGGAAGGAAGAAGGGAAGGAAGGAAGGGAGAAAGAAAGAGTACTGATACTTTTCCAGAGATAGATCTGAATTCTCCCATTTAGAGATTTTTGTTAAAAATTAAATTACTTAAATTGGCAAAAATTGTATGTATTTATTTTGTATAATCTATTATTTAAAATATAGATGATTATGGAATAGCTATACAAAACTAATTGGCATATGTGTTACCTTATGTACTTAATGTCTGGTGGTAGGACTACTTAAAATCTATTCTCTTAGCAGTTTTCAAAATAGTAGTTAATGATTTCTATTCACTACAGTCACCTGATATGCAATACATTTCTTGACCTCACTTCTCTAGGGTAACTGAAATTTAGCTTGTGGCCAGCATCTCTGAGCCTTGTACTGTAGCTCCCTTCAGCTAAGGTTCTAGGCTGCAGATTAAGTGGGATGGACAGTGTGTTAGTGGAAGGGTGCAGGCTCACAGTGCAAGTCTGGCTCAGCAGCCCTAAGTAGCCTGGGAAGCAAGGGACTGCCACGCTCCTGTCCTCCCTGCTGTCCTTTTGCAGTGTGGGTGCTTCATGCTGAGGACAGCTTCTGTGCCCACTCCCTGCTCTGCTGAGGCTCTGGCTGCTCATCTACACAGCCTGGCCCTTTGCTTTCACCTTCAGCAATCAGGTCTCTGGCCAAGAGCATTGCTCTGTCCAGTTTGGGCCAACAAAGGGAAAGGGAAAGGGAATCCCCTTGTGAAGTGGCCCCTACCTCCTGTACTGTACTGTACTCCAAGTACTCCAAGTACTGTACCTCAAATTGAAAGTAATTCGTTGAGGGGAAACCAGAACAGCCCAATCTAGTGCCTCATCCTTCACCAGATTCTCCAAGCCAGATTTTTTTTTCTGGTACCGGGGATCGAACTCAGGACTTGTCAGGCAGGCACAGTGCCACTGAGCTGCATCTCCAGCCCACCAGATGCTCAAAAGGACCCTGACCCCACCACTTCTGCCAAAAAGATTGTGAATCAATGCATGTGATTATCCCTAATTACAGCTCTGAAATGACATGATTCCAAATACTAATTTTTCTTTCCTGCGTCATCTACCAACTCAGAATTTCTTTAACAAGATACAAGTGCAGCAACAGAATGGTGAACATCATTGCAGGGTCAGCCAAAAGCACCTTAGGATCACTTCAGTGGGTGTGTGATTATGGTGGCTGGGCTAATGAAGGAAAGTAACAGATTTCTGGGAGCACTGGCACCGGGCTGAATTTCTGGCAAGCCAGTATGATTCCTTAGGCAAAAGGAATTTTCTTTTTTATGTAGCCTCCCGATGCAGTGTTATGAGTGTATGAAGATGAGATATGGCTTCATGGGTGGGTGGACTAGCTTTAAGGTTAATGACATTGGATGTGAAGTTTGATTCTATTCCTTACTAGCTGGTTCTCCCGAAACAGCATCTTTACCTTAATATGTCTCAGTTTCCTGGTTAGTAAAATGATAGTAATGTTAGTTAATGTGTAGGTACAGGGAGAACAAAAGATGTAATGTGAAGAATTATAGTGTTGGATATGTAGTTACAGCTCAAGAAAAAAATAATGAAAATCATCATGATATTACTAGTGAAGAGACTGGCTAACGGAACCAAACGCGTTCCAACGAAGTCTGTACTTTGAGATTTTAAGCTGAAAATTATAAGGTTTTGGGGGTCATGTGTTTTGGCTTGTGATCCACATTAAAGTGAATTCTACAAACTCTAAAATTACTACAAATAATCACTAGAATGTCCACTGAAGTATACCTGCAAATATTTCTTCACATGGCCCATGGGATTTTCAAAGCTGAGTAAAACAAGGGTAGAACTCGCCAGCGTGAATGCCTTCTGAGCCAGCCACTCTCACACCAAATCCTGACTTCCTTGGGCAGGTTAGAAAAAGTGTTTGCTGAACTGTAATTGAGCATGGCCGAGAACTGGTGGGGAGATTCGGGTTTGATTCCGTGCTTGTTTCCCGGGTGCCTTCCGAGCCTGTGCATCTCCTAACCAGTGTGCGTCCTCTCGACCCTTTGCAGGCAGATGTGAATGTGGAAAGTGCACTTGCTACCCACCGGGGGACCGCCGGGTGTACGGCAAGACCTGTGAGTGTGACAACCGCCACTGTGAGGACCTGGAAGGCGTGGTGTGTGGAGGTGGTAACCCTTCTCTACTTGCCTAGAATTTCTTTCCTTTGCTTTCCGAACTCTCTTTAGCTCCTTTACAATTGCTTTGACAAAGATCAGCAGAAATCAATGTGCCATTAGACCTAAATGCAGTACACTGTAAGGTTTGTTAGAACCTTTGTTTCTTTGAAATCTTGATTTAGGCATAGTGAAAGTCCATAGTGCGCCTTCCGTGAAGATCCTTCAATCTAAGTACCCAGGGCTGTGATTCTTTATGGCAGTAAAAGGCTTCGATGCAAGTGGACACTTGACTGTGATTTTATTACTTAACTCATAAAAACTGCTGCACAAAGTATCACTCACAAGCATGAAAAAAGACTGGTAGACTGCGCCCTCAATTTAACTGTGAAATCACAATAGATATACTCACAGTTTCCATGATAAACCATATAAGAGCTTACTGGAAGTAATAAACCGTCCAGAAGAGAAAGGGGCAGATGGACAGTAGGCATCAAAGTAGCAGCAAAAGTGAAAGTCCCGGAAGGGGAATGGGGACCAGAGCATTAGCAGAGAAGGACAGCTGCATCAGCATTACTCTTGTATTTCAGTCTTGGAACACTACTTTGCAGAGATGGATGCCCGTGAAAGACAGCTCCTTCCAGACTTTCATTACTATTGAAGGAAACAGACATGGAACCACATCAAGTACTATAATTCTATTTCTTAAACATAATTATGACAATGCATTGAGCATTACATTAGTGGGGAACAAACAAAATATATGTCCTATTTATAGAAAGCTGGGGGATCATTTATCTCTGAGGTCTGATAACTCTGTTATCTATGGACCTATTATTACCTGCCCATCTTAAAAGTGGATTTACTCTCTCTCTAACCAACTATAACACACTTGGAATTTGACCAAAAATATTTTTCTTCTTTTTATTCCCTGAGAGCCATGGGAAATAATTGTTGCAGCCAGTGGTTCATCTCCTGGTACCATCTTGGCAGCCATCCTAAAAGACTGTTTCCACTCTCTATTTCACAGATAGAAAATTGAGTGCAGTTAGAGGAGCTAATTCTCTATAACTAAAAAAAAATGGATGACCCAGAACTTGAGCTCTGCCCTTCATTCCCTGGGCCAGTTTTCCCCAGAGTGATGTCAAACACTTCAAATTATGTTAATCTTATTTTTGGGTTAGATCTTCCCTTCTTTGGTCTTAGATACTAGAAATACGTAAGTAGATTGTAGTTTGTTGTTGTTGTTGTTAAGGATGTGATATATATTCACTTAATTCTCCTGAAAATATCTATAAGGCCTGGCTGACCTCTTGAATGTACTGGACACTGGACTCTGCTCTTATCATTGTTTTCCTTCTCTCTCTGACATGCAGTGTTTTCCTCCCATGGGCTTCTTTGCCCAACATCTCTGATGACTTCGTTTGACATGTTGATTCTGGAGGAACCTGTTTCAGGTTACATTATACATATGTCCCCCTATAAATCTTTATCTCCATCTCTGAGGAGGAAATACAAACTGAAAACAAATGTCTCTCCCTGTTAGGTGAGAACAGAGGACATTAACATCCTTGCTGTTCATCTGTACATAGCTGCTGGTGTCCCTAGGAGAATGGACAAACTAGGAAAATAACAGTGTATGAAACAGAGCATCACTCACTTGATTTACAATGAAAAATGGAGTTGCTGCTGTTATTAGAAGTCTTGGTAGGGAAATGCTTTAGAAAATTATATTCTGACACAGGATCTGGTTGTCATTTATTTGAAAGGAGAAAGAAGTACTGATATAAGAGCTAAATGGTTTGGCAGGAAAGTGAAGAAAGCTGATAAAATTCGTATAATCAATGTAGTTACTGCCATGGTCAGCCAGAGCTTCGTTCCTCGGTAAAACATGTTTCGTGCACACCAACTAGCCTAATTCTGAGTCTCTTTTTCTTACACTTTAGCAGCTAACTCTAAGAAATCATATATTCATTTAATTTTACATTTTAAATTTTATTAAAACATGTTATCAATCAAAAGATCTCTGAATATGTTTAAAGTTTCCAAAGGAAGCAAGCCTTAATAATTTCCCTTGAAAATATTTTACATTGTTATTCTCAAAATTCACTTTGATATTCAAATCACGTCCTTGGTGGATGTGGGGTTAGAATGATATCAGTCTTTGACGTGTTGTTTATGATAAGAATATTTGCTTCATTTACCTTCTCCTGTTTCCCATGAGCCACTTCAGTTAACCCATTCACACCGTAGCTCAGAGGCTTACTCTGGGCCAGAGGTTCTCTCCCCAGGGCCTGTGAGCTCATCTTTACATGTTCCACGGAGTCCAGTGCTTGGAGAGGGTCAGTTCTTGGGGGAAGGAATGACTTCACACATTTGATCATGTTTGTTATAGTCATATATAGCTAGCAATGCTACCTAAAATGTACCATCTACACGGTATTCCTCTCTAGTACTCCTCAATGAGCAAAGTCCTAGATAAGGTTGATTCTTGTTATTTGTGGTAACTGTGGTTTAAAAGGTCACCCTGAGTACCAACTTAGCAAACACTGACTCATCATTCTTAAGAGAAATAACGAGATCAGGTTTCTGGCTTTGGTCACAATATTTTCATCACCTGGTCAATAGATGACCTTGTTTTGTTTATGTTTGTGTTTAAAAATATCTTATTTAATATGATTGATTCATTCACATTGAATTGATGTATTAAAATCACTCACAGAAAGCACAGAAATCCTCCCTCAAAAAGGTCACCAACATTCCTCAGAAAGACACTTGTTCACAGCATGCAGGTGAAAACAGCAAGACAGAGCATGACCTCTGACCCTAGCCCGGCATGTGAGCATCAGGCAACTCAGATGTTTTCAGGTAGTTCTGTGAATGTTCATTGTATGGCTGCAGATAAAGTTTAACAAATAGGTGAATTGACAAACATAAAATTTGTGATTAATGAAAATCATCTCTAACGCATTTTAAACCTCACTGGAAGGTTTTCATTAGAGAAGGCTGGAGGTGAAGGCACATTCTGTGGGTTCACCCCTGTACAGCCTCAGAAATTTACTAACACATTTCTCGTTTGTAATGTGATAATAATACCCATCTTGTAGGATATTTATGAGATTAGTGAGTTGATGCACATAAAATACCTTGGACATAAGTGTCACATCCATATATTAGATTACCATTACTATATATTTGTTCAGATCTGTGAGTAGTCTTCAATTTTGTGTGGCATGGATAATGTCCCCTTTCTGTTCTATTTTCATGAAGTGGTCTTTCTTTTCAGACTTAGCACTGAGTTACTGAGTCAAACAGCCAGTACCACCCTTCTCAGGAGTACTTTTCATGGTTGTGGCTTCTCAGTGCATGTGTATGGGAAGCTTCCTGCTTCCTGTGGATCTGCTCAAGAACAGAGGAGCATTATGAAGTGACTCTGGACATTAGGGTTCCTCAAGTCACAATGTGCATTGTTAAGTTTCCATTTTTCTCAGTCTACTTAAAAATATCTACTGTCACACAAAAACTTCTCTCATTCAGTATACATATCCTATCAGGTAAATAAAACATAAAAATGATTAAATGAGAAAAACTCATTGCATGATTATTCTATCCCCCCGACACATGCATGCCCTTCAGTATTTTTTACCTCTTTGATGCACTGTCTCTGTCTTGTGTGCTGTAGTTCTCTTGGAGTTTGAAACCTGTGGAAACTTGCTCTGTCTCCAGCCACTCCAAATCACTGACTCTATTGAGGGTACTAATTATTGATAGGTGGACAAGCCAGAGGCAGTTTAAGTTCTTGTTCCACATGACCACCATGCAGAAAGTTGTAGCTACTTCTCCCTAAAATGTCCAAAAAATGCCCACCCCCTAGCCTCAGGCACATTTTCAAGATACATCTTCTCTCACAGTTCTCATAATCACTTCCTTTCTCTCACTCGCTCATCTGCCATAGCTTACATTGCAGTGAGTCTCTGGAAATGGCCTTGGTTACCTGGTTGCCTGTTAGTTACTGTGCAGGAATCTCAGTCTCTGGCACTTTCATCTTTAGGATAACTTCTGTCAAAATGCTTCCTTAACATCAATCATTCTTCTTGGCTTCAGATTCTTTTCGATTTCAAACTAAATGTTTCCATATGGAAATTCTTCCAAATTAGGTATGGTTGAAACTAGGTGATCATTTGTGTCTCCATTCATTCAGTAAGTATGTATCTAGAACCTTCTGTGTCCCAGCAGTAGAGATCCGGTGAGAATAAAACCAACCAACCGAGTACCTGACCCCTTAGAGCACTCTTTGGGCTTCAAAAGTGGATATTGATGAAAGAATGCTGCTGTGCATGGTCTCAAAGTGAGCACTAGTTCCGTGGGATGCACATAGCAAGGGAAGCTGATATAAGCTGGTAGTGAAGGGCGGCTTCTCCAGCACTGTCCTATCCGGATAGCAAACACATATCGGAGAAAATGTGCTTTAATTATATGAACTCACCTGCACATCACAAGCACCCTACCACACTCAGTAGAAACTGGATGCATAGAGCATGCCCAAGTGAGGACAACGTGACTCAGATGTCAGAGAGAAATGTGTGCAGAGGGGACTGGGGGAGAGGGAAAAGGGGACGTGACCATGTTTGTGGAACACATGAGGACTGGAGAGAAATCTTGTCTGACCGCAGATCGGAAAGCAGAGGGGAGAAGAGAGTAAACTATGTTAAAAACTTGGAGCTTTACTCAAAGGACAATAGGAAACAGAAAAGGAGTTGAAGAAGGCAATAATATGCCATGGTGTATTATGATGTACCTCCACTGTCCAGTGAAATATGGATAGTCGGAAGGAGTGTGTGTGGGGGGCAGGGGGTGTGAGTATGTATGTCAAGATAGAAGTTCTGGTAAGAGGTTCTGGTGCTTTATCCACATGGAGAGCAGTAGAGATGGAGAAACTGGGAATCTGGACAACAGGCTGACAAAACCCTCACCCTGCTGCAAGACTTCAGCCCTTTGATCAACTCCTAGTT